TTCCTCCATATAATCCAGCTTCTCAGATTATTTGTTAAACATATAGTTTGAATGGGTATTGTGAAAGGAAACAAGTCTTGCACACACCATTGCTTATTTTAAACTAGTCAGTATCCCTTTGTTCTCTTCGAATACTTCTTGGACTATGTACATGTTTCTCATGAGCATAATTAGGTATTTTGAAATACCCATTCTTTGCAATGTTATCCACAGTTTGTCATGATCCACACAGTCGAAAGACTTTGCATTGGCAATAAAGCACAAGAAAACATCTTTATGGTATTCTCTGATTTTAGCTAGCATTGATCTGATGTCAGAAATAATATCCCAAATTCCACTTCCTCTTCTGAATCCAGATTGAATTTCTGGCACTTCATTGTAGATGCACTGTTATGGCTACTATTAAAGATCTTCAACAAAAATGGACTGGCATGTGATAGTAATGATATCATTCAATAAATTCTGCATTCCACTGAGTCACCGCTCTTTGGAATGTGTACAAATATATGTATATCTGGGTCATAGAAAGGATGAAAAGGATAGCGAGTTAATCTGGAAATACATATGTAAGCTATTTAGCATAAATATCAAGCATTGCCACCTTTTGTCTACCAGTTTGTCATACTACTGTGGCTTGTGTGTTGTTGTGATCCTGGATGAATGTTGTGATGCTGAATGAAGATATGCCACTGGTATTTTTAAATACCAGCAGGGTCTTCTTGTGTGACGCTCTGGGTAAATGTGCCAGACTGCAAAGCTGTTTGAACTGCAAGGCTTTCCAACTGCCTCTTGGAAACCCTATACAGGGTCACTATGGGTCAGTATAGACTCAACAGTATTTAACAACAACAACAAGGGTCACTCAGGGTGGACAGGACTCAGCAAAGCTTCCAGACTATGATTATGCAATGTTCTTTTTGATGATGGATTTGGCTCCATTTCTCTTAAATTTGCCATGTCAGCATAGTAAATCAGGTATGATTCAAAATGGTCAATTTCAGTTTATTTTTTTCAATGCCTAGGGTATTAATCTTTATGCACTCCAATTCACTTTTGACAACTGGCAATTTTCCTAGATTCATATTTCTTACATCCCATATTCTGATTTATTAAAGGCTGTTTGCAGCTGTTTCTCTTCATTTTGAGTTGTGCCCTATCTACAAATAAAGATCCTGAAAGCTTTGCTCCATTCACATCATTGTGGCCAACATATTTTGAGGAGGCAGCTCTTCTCCAGTCCTATTTTGAGTGTTTTACTAGCTGAGGTTCTCATCTGATATCATATCTGAAAATATGCCACTGCTATTCTGAAGGTTGTTAGTGGTTAATCATTCAGAAGTAATCAGCTCTCCTTCCTAGCCTGTCTTAATCTTGTAGCTCTGATGAAACCTGCCTACCATGGGTAATCCTGCTGTTACATAAAACACAGCGGCATAGATTCCAGCATCACAGCAACACACAAATTACCATGGTGGAAAAAACTTAAAGATGAGTGGTGGTAGCACTTGGTATTTATGCTAAATAGCTTATATCTGTCCTTTCAGGTCACCTTACCATCCGTTTTCACCCTACTCTTGGCTCCAGACTCTGACCTATATGGACTGCATCTATGTCATTTATGTGCATAACAAATAATCTTTCCTAATTTGTTATTTTTATTTAAATTTGATTCTAGTTTCTGGTTAGCTTTTACCCAATGGGAGTCCTACCAAGAGATTAGAGGGAGTAAGAACGCAGTGAATGAGGCATTTATCCCAACCCTTCTCTGTGGGGTTGCAACAGATTGTCTATGTCTCTCAACCAAAGGTTACAGTGATAACAAATATCCCTCTATACACAGTCGTTTCTATGTCTGGGTTCTATTACCACTCTCTTTCACCAAGACTTTAGTGCTAGTAGTTATAAGGTAATCCTGCCCCAGGATGATACACTCACTCTCTCTTTTTAAAAATTAAAAATAACAACAACGACAAAAACTTTTTATTGTGAGTTGGGCAAACATTTTCAGAGCAAAACAGTTTTCCATTCAACATTTGATACACATTTTCCATTCAACATTCCATTCAACATTTGATACACATTTTCCATTCAACATTTCATACACAACCTTAACAATGTAACATCACTTATCCTACTTCTTCCCTGTGTTTCCAGTTTCCATTCGTCCTTCTTTCCTAACCCTTCTCAACTTTGCCCTTACAAAAATGCTGTCCTTTCAAAAAAAAATAGCTGATTATTCTAAGTTGTGTGAACCTAACCAGTGGTAGTTTTCCCCTTATGGAACTGTATAATTTGGGGCTGAAAAACTAAACTAGGCAGCTGAGTTCATTTCCAAACCTAAAGGGTGACTAAGGGTCATTGTCTTGGGGGTTCCACCTGTGTCTATCCTACCAGTAAGCCTGGTCTTTTTTTTATGATTATGGGTTTTGTTCCACAGTTAACTCCTACTCTATTCAGGACCTTCTAATGTGATCTCTTTCAGAGCAATTGACAGTGGTAGTCAGGAACCATTTAGTTCTGGTCTCACTGCCTTGGAGACGCATGCTCACATTAGTCCATTGGACTAATCGTTTTCATGTGTCTTCAATTGGTGTAACTCTTCATTGCTCTGAACAGAAAGAGTAATAGTTGCACCTTAGATAACCACTCACAAGCTTCTAAGATGCCAGTTGCTACTCACTGTAGGATGTGGAACTTTGTCTTTGTGGGCTATGCTATTTCAATTGATATTGATGTTCCTCAAGACGATGAACTAATCCCATTGACTCTTTCCCCAAAGGTGTTTGATTATATCTAAGAAGTTTTCATAACTTTGCTACCAATATATCCTAACACATTTATGGACATACATGCAGCAAATTTAAATACACATGTACAAATACCCTTTGTCACACCTATATATATATTCATGGATCTACTTCCTCACCCATTTAGTCTGTGTATCTTGCAGTATTGTGTACATAAACATTATTTGCCTCTATTGTGTTTATCTTCACCAATGTTAACATGTGTCTATCCTTTAACCAGTCATTTACTCTCCTTTGCTCTTTTGTGTTGGGGAGAAAGATGAGGCTTTCTGCTCCCGTAAAGATTTACAGCTTCAGAAACCCTTCATAAGGTCGCTGTGAGTTGCAACCAACTCCACAGCACACAACCACCACCACCCTTTTTGTGTGAGAACCTTTTCTTGGCATTTTTAATAGTAGTCTTATACAAGATTTACCCTCTTGTAATTGACCCCTTTCACCCAGCATATTGTTCTCGAGGTTCATCCATGTTATGAGGTGATTTGAATATCCATTCTTCTTCTTCTTCTTTTTTTTTTTTTTTGACAAATGCAACATTAAAACTTTATTAAACAAAAATAACAGGCAAAGTTCAACAGGCACTTATATTTAAGTGAAAAACTGACTAGAATAAGGTTTAAACCTTACGATAATCTACTTGTAGTTGCATTTAACTGAGCTCTGTTGCTGTGAAGAGTAGAATTCATGCACAGGTGTGGATGAATTATTTGTATCTTTTTCAAGTATTCACTGAATACTACCATATATACACATATACATTAAATTTGAAAAATATTTCGTTGGCGATCCTCAGATACGCTTCATTCTTGTTGATCTTCTGGAAGAGGTCATCTAAAGAGAAGAATGTGCAGTTCTGGCTCATGAATCATGTAGTTCACGCAGCCTAGACTTTGTTAACACCTAGTCTCCTCCACTCCTCTTCAGACATTAGACGAGTTTTGGGTACTTGTTTGGAAAGCTCTCTGGGTAACATGGCATGCCGATACTCATTTGTTGTTGTTGTTATGTGCTGCGGAGTTGGTTCCGACTCATAGCGACCCTGTACAGGATTTCCGAGCCTGGAAATCTACGGTAGCAGAAAGCCTCATCTTTCTTCTGCGGAACAGCTGGTAGTTTCGAACTACTGACCTTTCGGCTCACAGCCCTATTCGTAACCACTACACTATCAGAGCTCTCTACTCATAGTGCTTGTCAAAGTATTTGTCCGAAGAGCATATCTGCTTGTGGGCCATCCTGCCAGCGGCGCAGCAGGGCAGGTGGGTCAGGAATGGAGACAGAGAAGGGAGCAGCAATGAAAATGTCAGCGCCGGGATGCCGCAACGACACACTCCATTATTATTCTTTAATGTTGTGCATGTACCATAGTGTTTTTATCCACTCTTTTGTTAATGGGTATTTAGATTATTTTCACCTTTTTGCTATTGTGAATAGTACTATGATGAACATGGGTGTGCATATCCCTACTTGGGTCATGACTCTTATTTTTCCTGGATATGTACCAAGTAGAGGAAATGCTGAGTCATATGTTATTTCCATTTCCAACTTTTTAAGGATGCAGCCATCATACACATTTCCACAGTAGTTGCACTATTTTATATTCATACTAGCAGTGTATGGAGAATGCAGTAATGATGTAGAATAAGAAGTATATTGGAAACCAGAAGTTTAGTGGTTCAAATCCACCAACTGCTTTTCAGGAAAAAGATGAGGTGGTTTTTTTTGTTTTTTTTTTTTTTTTTTTGCTCCTGTAAGGATTTATAGCCTAAGAAACCCTATACAGGGATACTATGAGTCAGAACCAACTTGATGGCACTTGAGGAAAACAACAAAGATGTCAGGTGCAAATATCGCTGGGCAATACCATTCAGTAGTTAGCATTGAACAGGCTTCCCTGGGAGGCAAAATTCCATAGGCAGTCTTTAAAAGAATAAGACATCAACTGCAGAACAAGGTACACAATAGAAGCTGAGAGACTGGTAAATTTTTACTCCTTACTTTCTGATTTTTCTTATTTTTTTCCTACTTTGGAAATAATAGTCTCCATTTCCTTTTGTGTAGCTGGGATACTATTACAATGTTGTTGGTGATACTCTCAGTTGGCAGGAAGTGAACTCTAAGAACAATTCTGCTTTTCATTCAGTGCAAATAAATGTTAATGTTTACTGTATTTTTATTGTTTTGTTTTTGTTTTAGAAAAGAGAATTCTTGGAGTAGATGGTCAAGAACTGGTTTATCCTAAGAGGGCTTCTCCAGTACAGAAGCGAGATATTGAACATACCCATGATCCTGACATGGAGGTACACGGTTTGTTTTCTTAGTAAGATGTATTCCTTTCACTTGACATTTCTAAGGCTGCCTCTACCTATGATACAGAAGCAAACAGAAAGAAAAGGACCTGAAATTTCCTCAATCAGTTTATAGCATGCACTTGAGGTGAAGTAGCCCCTCATCTCCACTCACCTCACCCCATAGATTAGGAAACAAAAAGGAAAAAGCAGAATGTGCCTTAAAGCTAACTTCAGGTTTTGGAAGGTGACAATTTACCTGAGAAGTTCTACCAACAGCTTGGGCTGCATTTCCATACTGAATTAAGGCAACCTCATTTGTACATAAAGTACAATCTCTGAGCTTTTGAATTTCCTAGCAATCTAATTCCAAGACAAATTTTTCTTGGAAGTTAAGTCAGAATGCTTCTTAGAAGCAAGGATGGTGGAACTTTGTCTGTCGTACTTGTACTTGGAACATGATGTCAGGAAGGACCAATCCCTGGAAGGACTTCATGCTTGACAAAGTGGTGGATCAGCCAAAAAGAAGAAAACCCTCAATGACATGGACTGACACATGGCAGCAACTATGAGCTCAAACAATTATGAGGATGGCACAGGAGCGGGCAATGGTTCATTCTGTTGTGCATAGGGTCACTATGAGTCAGAACCTACCTGAGAGCACTTACCAACAACAAGGCAATCTGATATGTAGATTTATTTATTTTACATATTCTGCAACAAATCTGCATAACTTTCACAGGAACAAAAAAAAGCCTGTTTAGGTTGCCACTTACTAGGGTGTTTATTCAGGAGTTAACTTTTCAAAATATTATTGTGAAAGTAATATGTATTTATTGTAGATACTAGATTATACACAAATAATAAAGAGTGCCAAAATTCAGTTGTTTTCATTTTCCCACTATTGTAACATACACTAGCTGTATGTCTGTAACTTTTATCATTGTTATTTCTGTTTGCTACTCTTGACCCCACGTGGGAAGCGTAGAACTGCACCAAAGGGTTGATCTTTTGGAAGCAGATCACCAGATCTGTCCAGGAGGCAATTCTAAGTGGGTTCAAACCACAACATATTGACTAATAGTGGGTTCCTTAACTCTTTGGACTCCCCAATGCCTCCAAATATTTATTATTGTTGCTAGCCTAGACTCACAGAGAGCCTAGACATAAGAGGAATGGAACACTGCCCAGTCTTGCACCATCCTCACAATTGTTATATGTGAACCCATTGGTATTACCACCGTGTCAATCATCTCATTGGCGTCTTCCTGTGTTTTCATTGACCCTCTGCTTCACCAAGAATGATGCCCTTTTTCAGGGACTGGTTCCTTCTGAGAGCAAATCCCAAGAACCTGAGACAAAGTCTCGCCATTCTTTCCTCTAAGGAGCATCTGACAGACATATTTGTTTCTTCTTCTGACAGTTCATGGTATTTCAATATTCTTCTCCAACAACATAATTCAAATGCAGTAATTCTTCTTCAATCTTCCTTATTCATTGTCCAGATTTCACATGCATATGAGGCAATTAAAGATACCATGGGCTGAGTGGTTGTTAAGTTAGTAAGAACTGTTGAGTAGTTTCTGACTTATAGGGACTCTGCATAGGAGTATCCAAGGAGTGACTTGTGGGCTTAAACGACCAACCTTGTAGTTGATAGTGCAGTGCTGATCCTGAGGCCCCACACTGGGACTCCGTGGATTGAATTAGTCAAACCTTAGTCCTTCAAAGTGACATCTTTGTTCTTTAACACTTTGAAGTGGTGTTTTGCAGCAGATTTGCACAATGCAGTTTATTATTAGATGCTTGCATTTTAAACAGTAGGTTTTTAATTTAGTACATTTAGGATAGTAAGTGATACTTTAACCCAACAAACTCTGGGAGTGCAAACCTTTTCCAATGTAGCAACATTTTCCTCTTACCATTATGTGTGTGTGTTATTAGGTGCTAAGCAATCAATATATATGTATAGATAGATAGTATATATGTGTCTGTATAGAGAGAGATATATAGATGTTGTTTGTTCTTAAGTTCCATCGAGTCAGTTCTGACTCATAATGACCGTGCATAAGGTTTCTGAGGAACAGCAAGCAGATGGTAGGTTTGATTCACCAACATTGTGATTATCAGTCAAATGCTTATCTTACAGCATTATATATTGTTGTTGTTAAGTGCCATCAAGTCGGTTCCAACCCATAGGGAACCTGTACAGGGTTTCCAAGGCTGTAAATCTTTATGGGAGCAGAAAGCCTCATCTTTCTCCTGCAGAGCGGCTGGTAGTTTCGAACTGCTGACCTTAAGTTTCACAGTCCGATTAGTAACCACTATGCTACCAGAGCTCCTAACAGCGTTATATATACATGTATATATAAAGCCGTGTAACATTGAGTCAGGTATGACTCATAGTGACCCTGTGTAGGATTTTTGAAGTTGTAAATTTTTATAGGAGCAGAAAGTCTCATCTTTCTCCCATGGAACAGCTTGTAGATTTGAACTGCTGACCATTCTATAATCCACTAGGCTACCAGGGCGCCATTTGTATCTATATCTATGTATTGATCAATCGATCTATCTACATATGTATATGTAAACCCATGGGATGTAAAGACAACAAGAAAATATAATACTCAGTATAAGTCTGAATGAGGTGGAAGTGTACTTTTTCCCAATTTATTTTATATTTTAATTAGGACAAAAGCACACTGGAAGCTTACAATTTAAAAATAACTTCAAAATAAAATCTTCCTTATAGCACCAGCTCTAGGATGTTGTTGTTGTTGTTGTTGTTGTTGTTGTTGTTAGGTGTCATGGAGTGCGTACCTACCCATAGTGACCTTAGGCACAGGAGAACAAAACACTGCCCGATCCTAGGCCAACCTCACTACTGTTGCCACACTTGAGTCCATCGATGATGTTAATAGTAGTTGTTGTTAAGTTCCATTTCATTGGGGGTCTTCTTCTTTTTCTCTGACCCTCCACCTTACCAAACATGATATCCTTCTCCAGTAACTGGTGCCTCCTGACAATATGTCTGAAGTATGAGAGACAAAGTTTGTCCATTTTGACTTTCAAGGAGCACTTTTGCTGCCCTTCTTTGGGTTCTATTGGTTCTTCTGACAGCCCAGGGTACCTTCAATATTCTCCTCCAACACCATAACTCAAAAGCATCAATTCTTCTATGGTCTTCCTTATTCACTGTCCAACTTTTGCATGCATATGAGGTTATTGAAAACAGCATGGCTTGGGTCAGGTGCACCTTAGTCCTCAAGCTGACATCTTTGCTCTTTAACATTTTAAAAAGGTCTTGTGCAGCAGATTTGCCTAATGCAATATGTCCTTTGATTTCGTGACTGCTGCTTCCGTGACAGTTGATAGTTGATCCAAGAATAATGAAGTCCTTGACAACTTCAATCTTTTCTCTGTTAATAAGAATGTTGTTTTTTTAAAAAAAATTTTAAGAAGAATGTTGTTTATTGATCCAGTGGTGAGGATTTCATTTTCTTTACATTAACATGTAATCCATACCGAAGGCTGTGCTCTTTGATCTTCATTAGTAAATGTTTTAAGTCCTCTTCAGTTTCAGCAAGCAAGGTTGTATCATCTAGATATCGCAGGTTGTTAATGAGTCTTCCTCCAATCCTGATGCCATGTTTTTCTTCATAGAACTCAACTTCTCGTATTATTTGCTCAGCATACAGGTTGAATAAGTATGTTGAAAGAATATACAACCCTGTCACACAACTTTCTTAATTTTAAAACATTCAGTGTTCCCATGTTCTGTTCGAACAACTGCTTCTTGGTCCAGGTACAGATTCCTCATGAGCACAATTAAGTGTTCTGGAATACTCATACTTTGCAATGTTGTCCATAGCTTGTCATGACCACACAATCAAAAGCCTTTGCATAGTCAATAAAGCACAGGTAAACCATCTTTCTGGTATTCTTTGCTTTTAGCCAAGACCCATCAGAGCTCAGCAATGATGTCCCTTGTTCCATGTCTTTTCTAAATACAGCTTGAACCTCTGGAAGTTCTCTGTAAATATATGCTAGCAGCCGTTTCTGTATTACCTTTGGTAAAAGTTTACTCGTATGGTATATCAAAGAAATGGTCTGATGATTGCCACATTTCATTGGGTCACCTCTCTTTGAAAAGGGTATAAATACAGATCTCTTCCATTCAGTCTGCCAGATATTGTCTTCCAGATTTCTTGGCAGAGATGAATGAGTGCCTTCTGGGCTGTCTCACTTTCTTGAAAGATTTCAATTTTTATTCCATCGATTCCTGGTGTTTTGTTCTTTTCTAATTCCTTCAATGCACCTTGGACTTCCTCTTCAGTATCATTGGCTGTTGATCATATGCTATCTGTTGAAACAGTTGATCCTGAACCATTTCCTTTTGGTACAGTGACTCTGTATATTCCTTCAATCTTCTCTTGATGTTTTCTGCATCATTCAATAATTTGTCCAGACAATCTTTCAATAATGAAAGTCAAGGCTTGAATTGTTTCTTCGTTCCCCCAACTTGAGAAATACTGAACATGTTCTTACTTTTTGGTTTTCTGATTCCAGATCTTTGCACATTTTGTTGTAATATTTGGCTTTATCTTCTCGAGCTGATCTTTGAAATTTTCTGTTCAGCTCTTGGACCTCCTCATTTCTTCCATTTGATTTAGCATCTCTACACTGGAGAGCAAGTTTCAGTGTCTCTTCTGATATCCATTTTGACCTTTCTTTCTTTTTTGTCTTCTTAATGACTTTTTGCTTTCTTCATGTATGATGTTCTTGATGTCATCCCACAACTCTTCTGGTCTTTGGTCTTTAGTGTTTAATGTATCAAATCTGTTCTTCAGATGATCTCTAAATTCAGGTGGGATATATTCAAGGTCATATTTTGGCTCTCATGGACTTGTTTTCGTTTTCTTCAGCTTCACTTTGAATTTGCATATGAGTATTTGATGGTCTGTTCCAAAGTCTGCCCCTGCCTTGTTTTCACTGATGATTTGGAGCTTTTCCATCGTCTCTTTCCTCAGATGTAGTTAATTTGATTGGTATGTATTGCATCTGGTTAGGTCCATGTGTATCGTTGTATCTTATGCTGCCTAAAGAACAAATGATTGATTTTGCAGAATTCTATCATGTGTTCTCCAGCATCGTTTCTATCACCAAGGCCATATTTCCCAACTACTGATCCTTCTTTGCTCCCAACCTTTGCATTCTAATCACCAGTAATTATCAATACATCTTGATTGCATGGTTGATCAATTTCAGATTGAAGAAGTTGGTAGAATGGTTCTATTTCAACTTCACTGGCTTTAGTGGTTGGTGCATAAATTTGAATAATAGTGGTATTAACTGGGCTCCCCTGTAGGTGCATGGATATTATCCTATCAAAGACAGGGTTGTACTTCATGACTGATCTGGATATGTTCTTTTTGACAATGAATGCAACACCATTCCTCTTCAATTCTTCATTCCCGGCATAGTAAACCATGTGGTCATCAGATTCAAAATGGCCAATACCAGTCCATTTTAGCTCACTAATGCCTAACATATCGATGTGTATGCATTCCATTTCATTTTTGACAACTTCCAATTTTCCCAGATTTATACTTCATACTTTCTACATTCTGATTGTCAATGGATATTTGCAGCTGTTTCTCTTCATTTTGAGTTGTGCCCCATCCGCAAGTGAGAGTACCGTGGTCCTTTCTCTCATGGGCTTTACTCCATTCTCGTCATCACTGTCAACTCTACTTTGAGGAGGCAGCTCTTTCCCGTCAAATTTTGGGTGCCTTCCAACCTGAGGGTCTCCTTTTCAGGCACTATATCTTAGTTTTCTTTGCTATTCATAAGGTTTTCATTGACTAAATATTTGGAAGTAGTTTGTCATTCTTTCTTCCTAGTCTGTCTTTGTCTGGAAGCTCATCTGAAACCTGTCCACCATGGCCCTCCTGGTATTTAAAATATTGGTGGCATAACTTTCAGAATCACAGCAACTCACAAGCCACCACAGTACAACAAACTGACATATGAGTCATGGAGCTCTAAAGCTGAGCTCTATTATAAATTCAGCTTTATCAGTATTTGTCATTTTCCCCAAAAAGACTAGTTTTACAGGGTTCTGGGAAACCTGTGAATTTCCCTTCCACCTCACTATTCACCTAAATACTCACAAAATTGATATTGTTTTCCAGGAATACTATGAAAATGAATTATTGTATGAACTAAGATTTAATAGAAAAACCATCATACTTCACCTTTACCGAACAAGGTAAGTTCTATTGTAATTCCGTATTTTAAAGATTCAAGTTATTTATAGTATCCCAATTTTAGTAAAGACCACCAAGGAAGTGGCATCTTCAAGTTACTGCTATGTATATGTAAACTGAATTTTTATTAGTCTACATAAATCTGTTTCATTTCTAGAGATGAATAATTTTTAGTTTTTTTTTCTTTTGCTCTAAAAGTTTCTCACAACGAGGTGTACAAATTGTTCTTGTATATCCACTTAATTCTGATAAATGTATGAGTTGGTTACTCAAACTCCTGCAAAAGTACAGAATCACCACTTCAGAAATTTGCCTCATCCTTCTTTCTCATCAGCTCTGCTCAAACACTGTTGACAGAGATATCATGCATCTGTTTATTTTCTCATCATAGATTACTTTGTTCTGTTTTGGACTTCTTATAAATAGAATCACTTTGCTTTTCATTTTTGTTGCTGTTGTTATTAATGTAAGTATAATATTACTGAAATGATGAAATCTTACTTTAACGGAAGCTATACAAGGTCTGTATCTCCTTGGTTCTTTCTGTCAGGCATTCATGTGAACGAGATACAGGTATGGACATCCACTTTTTTTGGCATCTGTCCATTGCTCATTGGTCTCTCACTGATTGCACACCTCCAATCTGGTAACTAGAGGGGATACCTGAGCGAATGGATACCCCACCCCCACCCCTAGATAGTTCTACTATGCATGCGCACAGAACTCCTCAAAATTTAAAGTGACAGTTTCAACATAAAACCAAATGGTCACCACTCCTCTGTCTGTTATACTGTGGTGGCTTGTGAGTTGATGTGATTCTGAGGCTATGACACCGGTATTTTAAATAACCAACAGGGTCACCCATGGTGGACAGGTTTCAGATGAGCTTCCAGACAAAGACAGACAGGGAAGAAAGAGTGACGGACTACTTCTGAATATTTAGTCACTGAAAATATTATGAATAGCAGAGAAACACTGTCAGATGTTGTTGTTGTTGTTATATGCCATGGAGTCGGTTCCGACTCATAGCGACCCTACACAGGGTTTCCGAGGCTGTAAATCTTTACGGGAGCAGACCGCCTCATATTTCTCCCATGGAACCACTGGTAATTTCGAACTGCTGACCTTGTGGCTCACAGCCCAATTCGTAACCACTACGCTACCAGAGCTCCATACACTGTCAGATAGAGTGCTGGAATATGAGCCCTTAAGGTTGGAAGGCACTCAAAATGCGACTAGGGAAGAGCTGCCTCCTCAAAGTAAACTTGACCATGATGATGTAAATGGAGTTAAGCTCAAGGGAGAAAAGGCCACAGAACCTTCATTTGCTGATGGAGCACAATTTAAATGAGAGAAACAGCTGTAAACATCCATTGAAAATTGGAACATGGAATGTACGAAGTATGAATCTTGGAAATTTGAAAGTTGTCAAAAATGAAATGGAATGTATAAACATTGATATCTTAGGCATTAGTGAGCTGAAATGGACTGGTGTTGGCCATTTTGAATCTAACAACCACATGATTTACTATGCCAGAATGACCAATTGAAAAGGAATGATGTTGCATTCATTGTCAAAAAGAATATATCCAGATCAGTCATGAGGTACAACACTGTCTTTGATAGGATAATATCCATGCGCCCATAAGGAACTCCAGTTAACACCACTATTATTCAAATTTATGCATCAACCACTAAAGCCAGTGAAGATGAAATAGAAGTATTCTACCAAATTCTTCAATCTGAAATTGATCAACCATATAATCAAGATGTATTGCTCATTACTGGTGATTAAAATGCAAAGGTTGGGAGAAAAGAGGAAGGACCAGTAGTTGGAAAATATGGCCTTGGTGATAGAAATGATGCTGGAGAAAGCTTGATAGAATTCTGCGAAACCATTGATTTATTCATTTCAAATACCTTCTTTAGAAAGCATAACAGATGACTATACACCAGATGGTGTACACATAGAAATCAAATTGACTAAATCTGTGGAAAGAGATGATGAAAAAGCTCCATATCATCAGTGAAAACAAGGCCAGGGGCAGACTGTGGAACAGAC